TTCAAGTAAATGTAATCAATGTGTTAATGTATTAATACCAACATTTATGTGTGTTCAGTGAAGTGAGATAATCTGCTGATATCCTGTTGGGTATCTCACCCTTGGTTGTCCGTATCTTACAACAAGACGCTGCCATAATCCGAGAGAAACCTAGTAAATTTGATGGTCTCCTGTTGATTCTCAAGCTTATTTAATAGGGTAAAGATTTAGAGATCTGGTAGTTGCAGCAAGAAATTGATTGCTGATAAGAAGTTTAGTTTTTGTTTGGGAATGTATAAGCCTTTCACACTCTTGGTGTTATATCAAGAGGAGATACTGTTTCTGACAGTAAATCTCCGGCTTTTTATTAAAGGTACATATACGACCATCCAACGTCACATCCAGGAAAGTTTTTAACTTTTTCTCATACTCTACCTCTACTCAAGAAGACAATGTCAGATCACATGTAGCAAAGGTAACACTGGATTACCAAGACATACTAGTCAATCTTTTATCTTGTCATCAAGATCTTTAGACAGTTTCCCTATCAAACACTGGACATATTTGTAAGGTACATCTTATGAGTTACAGGTAGTTTGGTAGGAGATACTCAAACAGAATATTGATCACCTCATCACAAGCAAGTTTAGATGCATTAAAATGTGTGTAATATTAGCACTATTAATTCATTCGTATTCTGTTTACCAGATTGGTTCGCAATTTTAAACAGTTTCTTACCACAGCTTCTTGAACATGTGTTTCAAAAGTTATTAAAATAATATTTCAGGTTCTGGTGTCGTTTTCTATTACAATTGGTATAACTGCAGTATTCTTTAAGAAAATTGGGATATTCTATTTTTTATTTTTCTATTCGTAGGAGAATAAGGCAAAGGTAATTTAATCATATCGCTAATATTTTGCAAATATTATATTCTTCAATAGTATCATTTCATTTCAGATTAGTCGCCTCATATCCAAGATCGTAATAAAAATTTCAAATTAATCATACATATAGGGTGTCTAGAATGGAATGGGCTATATTTAAAGGTAGATTCCTTGGTTAAAGTTACCTTTCTACAATTTTGCTTTTTTAAAAAATATTAACATTCAAATAAATTGCGAAAATTTTAAATGCATACAATTGAATAAATTGATGACTGCAGTAATAAATTAAATTCTATTTGTTCATTAACGGTGTATTTTAGCAACAGATATATATTTTTTGACGCTAATAAAATAAAACTGCGGACACATCTGGCGAAGTTACATAAAATTAAAATGTACTATGAAACTCACTAGATGCTATGGCATGAAGTAACTTTTTAGTAAATGTTTATTAGCACTTTTAACATATCATTTACCTTAATTAGGCCAAATTTGGGTTGGAAATTGATACCATTAAATATTATAACCGAAATTTGTTATTGTTATTAAACAGAAGTCATATTTTCTGAAAACCCCTTCAGGATTTTTTTATTTCGATTACAGTTCTCTGTATTTAAATAACAAATTATTGTTAGATTGGATTAATGTTTTTATTTAATAAAAATACGTATTCACAAAAAAGTCTTCTGAAATTAAAATTACAATTTTTTTCTGATATTCAACAGATAGATTCTAAAAACATCTAGCCAATGGTGTAAAAAAACTGTCTTAAAAATTATACGCACTTAAAAATTATTGGATACTCCTTTAAACGATTTTGTTTTGTGAGTGTACAAAATTAAAACTGAGATTCGTATTAAATGGGAATAATATGGAATACATTGCAAACAACAACTGTACTACTTAGTGGTCTTAAGTGGAGCAGAAAATAACTGAACTGAAAGGGGAGAATGTGGGGAAACACGGTAAAGAGATTAGTTGAAATTTATGCTGAAATACACTTTGAAATTCCATTTCACAATTAGGAAACTAATATTGAAGTTAAATATGTTTAGTTGCGGAACAATTGAATGAGTGTTTCTCAAATTAAAATGCTGACAATGAAGCGAATTAGAGTTTGATTGTAGACAGGATGCTTCTAAGTAAGATTATATGAATCTAAATAATGTGATAAATGCATTGAACATATATCTTAACCCCTTTTTTATGGGCAGGCGTATCCACTAATACCAGAACTCGGTTGGTAATCATTCCCGGAACATTGCCTGCCGGAAGATACATCACCGAAATCCTTGAATCACACGTCCTGCCCATGCGTACACACATGGGAAATCGTTTCACCTTCATACCACAAGCCGTACGAGAAATTACTATAGTGGATTTGCTGAACTCCAAAAGCGACAATTTTGTCGATTAACGAAATCATCAAGATGAAAATGAACCTTGTCGCTGTAGATGATTTTGTTTGAAAAATCAGCATCCATTTGTTGTTGTTCCAACAGCTCGTTGTTCTCTGTGCGGTCAGTAGACTTCAGTTCTAGAGTCAATTGGACTTTATAAGCATGAACATGTAAATTTTTCGTGAGAATAGGCTGTAAACAGAGAAATGTTCAATTTTTGACCATGGTACCAAATTGGTGTTGCTGGACTCTCAGCAACATTCTCAGGAACTGCTTCGTTGTTTCGTGTTGAACGACTTGTTGAAGGACGGACGGAGTATTTAAGATCACTAAGTCATGTTTTTTTTTTCGTTGGCAACACTTTACCGTAAGAATGGCGCAAAATGCAAATCTTGACTGAATTTTGGGACACCGGATATTTGCGTTTTGTAACAAATGACTAATGAACACTTGTGTAACTATATACAGGATGTTCCACCTAAAAGGGATTCTTCTGTAACTCTACAACTGTAAAACTTGGTTTTAATCAAAGTTGCCTGGAATCATGTGGGCCATGTAAAGAAAATATATTTAGCTTTACAGGGTTTCATTTGGCGTGGACGCTACATAATTTTGCTATTTTAAATGGAACACTCTGTATATTATTGCATTTTTGAATTCCTTGGTTAATATTAGGTAGAGTTTATTAAATGTACATGGTGTTTTATACTTACCGTTTTCGAGATAATCATTTGTTTTTGATTTCATAATCTAAACTGTAAGAGTTAGAAACCTGCAGTTTTCACAGTTCGTTTTGGCATAAATTACTCTATTTTTTCATCTGTGAGCAAATCGTGTACGTTATTCAGACTTGGAAATACTGGGACCTACATTTAATAATCCTACCAGCTGAAAAACTTTTTTTTCAAATGGAATGACCCATATTAATTGTCATGGGTGAATGGGAAATTGAATGCCCTTTCGACTGATATAAGGTTGTCCATACTTGTCTCTAACAGTTTTCCAGAAAAATCAGGTTCCTCTCTAAAGTCCGAAAGTAGCGTCAAGAAGGTCTTGCAAAACCACTTTTCTCTCACATTTTATCTGGCGTGGGACTGAGAGTGTCAATATTTACTGGCATGTTTAAAAAGTAATTTGACAAACAAAAGTAACTGACAACAACTAAAACAAAACGCAAAACGAAACAAACTGAAAATTGGAACACAAAGAGGGAGAAGAATACTTATATTTACATCAATTGCTCGAAGTGTCTGTCCTCCATTTTGATTAATACACAAACGAATTCGGTTTTTAAAAGATGTTCAACGTAGTTTCTTGAAATGCTACTGTAATGCGCTGCCACATATCTTCCGCGGTAGTTGGCGGTGTAACGTAAACTTTGCTTTTTATAAATCTCCATAAAGAGAAGTCGCAACTTGGCATATCTGGACACCTTGAAGGTCAACTCACTGGTCCTCCGCGCCCAATCCATCCACATTCTTCGAAGTGTAGTTAAAGGAATGCCTCCTAACAAATCTTCTACAGTGTTTGTTAAAAAGTTTAAATAAACTGCTCCAGTTGGTCAAAGAGAATGGTTCAATTCACATGTTCAAAGACCATCGTTGGCTATGAGTTGTCCGGAATTGGTGAGGATTTACTTTGTCATAATAATGCCAATTATGACTATCAACGCAACCATTTTTATGAAAAGTAACCTCATCGGAGTACATGACCCGTTTAAACAAATCATCACCTTTATTTAACATCTCAAGTGCCCATTGACAAAACTCCAGTCTCCGCTGAAAGTCTACTTTTAATAACTCTTGGTGTAATTATTAAAATATTGTGCTGTACTGTGCTTTTGTAAAATCCTATGTATTGACGTTGTACTAATACTATTGCAAGCCTTCTTGACGCTGTTACATAGCTACTTTTGCGGATTTTAGAAAAGAACCAGTTTTTTCTGGAAAACTGTTAGAGATAAGTGTGGACAACCTTATATCAGTCGAAAGGTCATTCAATTTTGCATTCACCCATGACAATTAATATGGATCATTCTATTTGAAAAAAAAAAAAGATTATTAAATGTAGATCCCAGTATTTCCGAGTGTGAATAACGTACACGTTTTGCTCACAGATGACAAGATAGAGTAATTTATGCTAAAACGAACTGTGAAAACTGCAGGTTTCTGACTCTTACGGTTTAGCTCTGTCTAGCCTCACTTAGAGAGATGAAATTCAAAAACAACTGATTATCTCAAAATCGGTAAGTTTTAAACACCATGTACATTTAATTAATATTAACCAAGGAATTTAAAAACGCAATAATATACAGGGTGTTCCATTTAAATAACAAAGTTATGTAGCGCCCGCGCGAAATGGAACACCCTGTAAAGCTAAAAATATTTTTTTACACGGCCCACATGATTCCAGACAACTTTTATTAAAACCATTTCTTTGTAAATTTTACAGTTACAGAGTTACAGAATGTAATGTCCTTACTTCACTTTTAATATTAGGAAAAGAAAAACTCGGTCGATTTCGAGACAACGTATATTTCTCTGCCACATACAAATACAGACTGACTGTCGCGTAGCACATTCATTAACAAAAAAACACAGGCACAGTAAAAACACATACACCATTTTACATACAAGGTCGGTATCCAACACCCTTCTCCCTTGTGAAAATTTTGTCATAGAACACATTATTTACAATATATACAGAAAATATCCTAAAATAGAAAAATTATTTACATCAAGTGTATATTAAACGTTCAACTGGTTTAACATTTCTTTTAGGTCTAGATCCTTCAGGTGAGTTGGTCAAATCCACGATACTTAACCTTTCAGGAATATCCGGTCCAGCAAGAGTACTTGGTAAGCTAGATTCCTTTACACAAAATTTTTTTATTTGATTCAAGTGTCTTTTCCAAATTACATTGCCTAATTCCGGAATTTGAACCAAGTATGTAGATTTGCCAATCCGCTGTTTAATTATAGCTTTAATCCACTTCGGTTTATTTACCTCTCGATAGTCTTTTACAGTCACTTTTTCCCCCACTGTAAAAACTAAGAACCGTCGACCTCCGTAATACTCTTTTTGTTTTGCCTGTTTAATTAGCACGCGATTTTTATTTATTTCTGAAATAGGTTTTCTCAAATTTATGTTGGAGGGCATTATGTTATCAAATCTAGTACGTAACTTCCTTTTAAAAATTACATCTGCTGGACTTACGCCTGTAGTAATGTGTGGCACATTACGATAATCAAAAAGAAAGTTATGCAACACTTGATTTATATTAACATTTTGCTGTGTACCCAAAGACTTTTTTAGAGCACTTTTGACCGTTTTGACCGCGTTTTCAGCAGCACCATTCGAAGAGGGATGAAATGGTGGTGACGTAACATGAATTATTTGATTTGATTGTAGAAAAACTTGAAACTCATTAGAACAAAAGGTCATAGCGTTATCTGTTACAATCTCTTTTGGTAGACCAAATCGTGCAAAAACTGATCTTAAAATCTCAATGGTAGCTTTTGAAGTTATGTTGTTCATAGCAAAAACTTCCAACCATTTGGAATGCGCATCTATTATTATTAAAAATTGTTTATTGAAGATTGGGCCCATAAAATCTAAATGTATACGGTACCAAATCTCCTCTGGAAATGGCCAATTATTTAAAATTGAATGATTTGGGTTTGGCTTATATAACAAACAATTTTCACAAACGCGGCAAATATTTTCGATATCTTTATTAAGTCCTGGCCACCAGACATATGACCTGGCCAAACTTTTCATCTTAACAACTCCTAAATGAGATTTATGCAAGTCTGCTAAAATTTGATTACGTAATATTTCTGGAATAACAAGACGGTTGTTCCATATGATACATTCAGAATCTATGCTTAACTCGTCTTTTAATTTAAAATAAGGTTTCAAATCATCACTTACTTTTTTAGGCCAACCCGTATATATAAATTTTTTTATAATGGCAAGAACGCTATCATTTTTTGTTGCATCTTGAACGTCTTCAAAATTAATAGGTAAATTTTTATTTTGCGAAAAATAATACATGTAATTTACATCAACATCTTCCCAATTTATGTTTTCATTTTTTATGGGCAATCTCGACAAAGAATCGGCATAATTATGTTCAGATTTAACAAATTTTATTTCATAGTTATAGTTAGAAAGTATAACTGCCCATCTGCGTAGCCTATTTGCTGTAAATTGTGGAATGCCTTTTTCGGGATGAAATATGTTTGTTAATGGTTTATGATCGGTAACTAAAATAAAATGTCGACCGTGTAAGTATTGATTAAATTTGCATAAACCGAAAATTATCGATAATCCTTCTTTTTCAATTTGACTGTATTTCCTCTCGCTATCAGATAAAGTTCGCGATGCGTAAGCTATGGGTTTCTCGGATTTGTCAGGATAAACATGGGATATAACTGCCCCTATACCATAATCACTAGCATCAGTGGTGAGTTTAATTGTTAGACTTGGATCGTAATGAGCGAGCACTTCCGCAGATGTTAATATTTTTTTAACCTGATTAAATGAATCATTACATTCAGATGACCAGTTCCAACTAACATTTGTTTTTAATAAATTGTACAGTGGATATAATACCATTGCTAAATTTGGAACAAATTTTCCATAATATTGAACTAATCCTAAGAATGATTTTAATTGTGTAATATTTCCTGGTATGGGTGCATTTTGAATTGCAATAATTTTGTCTTTAGATGTATGTAAACCTTCTTCGCTTATATCAAATCCCAAGTAAGAAATTTTACGTTGGAAAAAACTACATTTTTTAAAAGCAATTTTAAATCCTACATTATGTAATATTTTAAAAACCTTTTCTAGCCGTTCCAAATGTTCCCTTTTAGTTTTTCCGGTTACTAAAACATCGTCCAAAAAAACTACTACCCCCTCTACACTTTGAAATAAAGATTCCATAATTTTCTGAAATTTGGCTGGAATACTAGCTATACCATATGGAACTCTTGTATATCGATAAAGGCCTTTATGTGTTGAAATGGTTACCAAATTTTTCGAAGTTTCATCCAAAGAGATTTGCTGATAAGCAGTGGATAAATCTAATTTGGAAAATTCAACACCCCCTTGGAGTTTACCAAACAATTCCTCAATTCGAGGCAAAGGATACTGATCGATTTCAATGTAAGGGTTTAAAGTGATTTTAAAGTCTCCGCAAATTCGGACACTGCCATCCTTTTTTAACACGGGCACGATTGGTGTACCCCATGGACTGTAAGAAACCGGTTCAATAACACCTATTTGTTCTAATCGCCTCAGCTCAATTTCAACCTTTTCTTTAATAGCAAATGGCAAAGGACGTGCTCTAAAAAATTTTGGGGTTACGTTCTCATTTTTTAATTTTATAGAAATAACACCTTTATTGAAATTACCTAAATCTGAGGAAAATACTGCAGAATATTTTTTAATTAATATATTAAGATCATTAGGTGCATTCACATAATTTAATTTCACTACCGATAGTCCAAATTTGTAATAAAAATCACGCCCTAATAGTGGAGGTCCGGACACATTTTGAAATACATATATATCTAAATTAGTAGTAACATTGTTATAAGAAACATTACATGTTATATAACCTAATGGTGGTTCCATTTTGGTTCCATTATATAACCCAAAATTTGTATTTGTTTTGTTAAGTTCCTTATAAAAAAAATGTTGTCTGTGAAATTCTTCAGGGAAAATTGATAGACCAGAACCTGTGTCCAATTCAAGTGAATAATTTTGATTTTCAATAGCAACATTTTTTAACAATATTGGTGGATCAACATTCTTATTACTTTTTATGTTATATAATGAGAATTCTTCTACTTCTAAACAATTTTCTGACTCTGGTTCTGGTTCCATTTCATTTTCATGATCAATGGGTTTTATGTAAGACACAAGGTTATTCGTTTTAGAATTTTTACCTGTTTTATGTTTACACATATTGGCCAAATGACCCTTAACGTTGCAAATGTGACAAAAACATTCTCTAAAAGAACATTGTGCCTCAAGGTGGTTTCGCCTGCCGCAGACCTTACACTTTGGGGACTGAGAAGTTCTCGCTGAGTTGGCTCCTCGCTGAAACCGCTCCTGCTGCAGGACGTCTCCTCGAGAACAGTTGGGTCTCCCACTCTGCCGCTGATCCTGGACCATGAGCGTGCTGGATCCACCACCTCTGTAAATTTGTGTCTTCTTCTTAGCTCCTTGTGAGTTGCGTATATGCAGAACTTCCGGTTCCCTTTTGACGTTGTGCGCAAATGATAAAGGAGCAGATTTACTTGCTGCTAGTTCGATGACTTGTTGGAAAGTTACTGACTTTTTTTCTTCCATCAAGCGGTCCTGCACACTCCCTTTATCATAAGCAATGATAAACTGATCACGCAACACCATTTCTAACTGATCTTGCGAAAAATCACAATGGAGAGCTAAATTTCGGAGCTTAGCTGCCCACTCCTTTGGTGATTCGTTAACAGCTTTTCTTGCACTGTAGAATTTATATCTACTTGCAAACACAGATGTTGTAGGTTTAAAATGTTCGGAAATTAGTTTTATAAGTTCATCATAACTTTTAGTCTCAGATTCCGCCGGCAAAGACAAACTATGCACTAATTGGTATGCATCTTCACTTAACAAATTCAACACTATGGCTCTCATCCATGTTTTGTCGGTGATATTGTTTGCAATAAAATAGTTTTCAAGTCTACGTTTGTAGATAGTCCAATCGCAGTTTAACGGATCGAATTCCCGTAGGTGGCCCACATTTTCGGTAGCCATTTTGAAAAATCGGCAACGGTAACGCACGTGAAAAATTTGTTTCCTCAGAGTTTAATATGAAACTCGCATTTGGGGAACGAAACTTTTTCCCAATACTGACTGCGCCACTTGTAATGTCCTTACTTCACTTTTAATATTAGGAAAAGAAAAACTCGGTCGATTTCGAGACGACGTATATTTCTCTACCACATACAAATACAGACTGACTGTCGCGTAGCACATTCATTAACAAAAAAACACAGGCACAGTAAAAACACATACACTATTTTAAATACAAGGTCGGTATCCAACACAGAAGAATCCCTCTTAAATGGAATACCCTGTATATGAAAAACCATTTTATTTGTTATTAGTAATTTTATCATTATTCATAAGATATAATTTAATATTTTTATTTTATTTATTTTGTATACATGAACACAAGTTATTTCAATACTGCCTTACCCTGCAAAAAAGTATTCCTTTGAAGGAATACTAGGGTATGCTTTTAAATAAATTAATTCTTCTATCTTTATCCGATTGTAACATAACATAAATTAAACACTATAAAAGTTAGTCATATAAAACAAATATACTTGATATTTTCGTTTGTTACCATTCAGAGATTTGTCTAAACATCTATGAGTCACGGTCGGGTCAAATCGCGCAACCTTGGAGACCATTATCGTCCGAAAACAAACCCTCCGAAAGAGTCCTGTCGCTGTTGGACCACCCAACCGATAATTTTGTCCCAACTCGGGATTCGGGACCCAAATCAATTACGGGAGGACACAGAAAGATTTAATTTCCACGTGATTCGGGGCAAATAAAGCAGTCGATTAGATGGAAATAAATATGCAGCGCCCCACAGCTTCCATAATGGAACAGGAAAGGTTTGGAGGCGAGCGAGCGCTTTGCATGCTCGTCTCTAAATATGTAATCAGGAGCTGAACAGTCGGTATGCATAATTAAAGGCTGGGCGTAGCATAACTTATCTTTTGTAAACGTGTATGATTTTCATTTCACTGGAGAGGATGCAGTTTAGAGTCGATTAAGAGTATATTATTTTAGCGGGTAACACATTCTTCTATAATTCTGGTAATATCAATAATACACAGAAAGAACTTGCTTCAATTAAAAGTTGCTCCAAGTCTATTCGTCCACATACTAAAATTGTTTTTGTATCATACAGGGTGTTACAAATTCGCTTCTCACTACAGGGACCTCGGAAACGGTAAGAGATACGAAGTAGCTTAAATGGGGGCAAAGTTGCATAATCAGAGGTCCAACGTTATGCCTTTAAAAAATCAAGGCTAACATGATTAGTTCTCGAAATATTTGAAAAAAAACGAAATTCTGAAAATCTGTTTTTGTTTAATTTCAGCCTTGTTTGAGATGATATTGAAAAAAGAAGAACACTTTCTCATGGCAACTTTTTGCGCTCGATTGAATGGCATAATTAATTTTTATATGTAACGTTTCGTCTCTCCAGGATCGTTATCAACTTCATTTTTTTAAAACAAGGCTGACATTAAACAAAGCCGGATTTCCTATATTTCAGGTTTTTTTAAATATTTCGAGAACTAATAATGTTAATTTTGATTTTTTAGAGACATAATATTGGTCCCCCTAATTATACAACTTTGCCCCCATTTAAGCTACTTTGTATCTCTTATCATTTCCGAGATCCCTGTACTGAGAAGCGAATTTGTAAGAGCCTATATATAAATAATGTGATGATGGCATGAAATTTAAATATATTTTGATGGATTAAAAATACTATGAATATCTATTCTAGGCTTTTCTAATACACACGCCTTAAGCTTTACTTAAATTTAATAAAAGACGCAAGGATTTACAGCAAGGTAAGTAAAACATCTTGGACCACAAGTAGTATATTTATTCCTTCGCAATACACTATTTTAACATCTTGTTTTTTTAGTTGTTTATTTTGTTATGTTTACATTGATAGAGAACACATTGGTAAGATAAGGACATGCCTATATTTATTGCTCTAAAGTTAGTGAATAAATAATTTGAAGAGTAAGTGCGTCGATTCCAGAATATAACTTTAAGAGCTTTTTTCTGTAAGCGCTTTTTTCTGTAAGTCTCAATGTTGTATCCAGTACTTTCCCCCTTATAATATGCTATAACTTAAATGAGATTCAACAAGTGGTGCACTATTTTTAATTGCTTAGTGTCAAGTATATCTCATAATAATTGTAAAGCTTCCTAACTTTATTTGATACAAAATTTATACAGGGTGTTCCAATTAAACTTTCCACCTGGAAAATATCGGAATTAAAAAAACAAAAAAAACCTGAGACAAGTCGATTTAAACTTTAAATGGCACTTTATGTTGCGTGACATCTCATTTTAAAACTTTTTCAATTCTGCTCACGACGGCATACAACTTTTTAAATTTTGATTTGGATATGATAACAAAATTATTACTTAAAGAATAAGGCAAAATATCTGTAAATGAAAGAATGTTCAAATTGGTTTCTCTCCACTTCCATACAATAAAAAAATATTTGCTCCACTTCTGAAAGAACATTTTGGGCATTATTTGACGATAATTCGCTGACGACGCTCCTCAAGTGAGTTTGGTCGTGTTACATAAATTTTCGGCTTTAAGCGTCCCCATAGAAAAAATCTAAGGGCGTTAGATCTGGCGATCCGGGAGGCCATTCAATTGAACCATTGCGTCCTATCCAGTGATTTGGAAATTTCTGATTAAGAAAATCACGCACAGCTACGGCATAACGTGGTGGAGCACAATCCTGCTGAAACCATACATCTTCTTCTGGCACAGCATTGTCATTTTACAATACTTCCACAATCATCGGGTAGACATTCGTTTCCAGTATATTCAGATACATGTTTCCATCCCAATTTTCCGGAAGGAAGAAAGAATTTATAAGATGGTCTCCCAGTATGCCCGCTCAAGCTCTCATTTTTCTCAGATGCAGCGTATGAGGTTCATCACTCGAGTAGCGGCAATTATGGCGGTCGGCTCGACTATTCCGTTGTAACGTACATTCATCGGAAAAACAGATTGAGTACAAAAAATTTGGATTTCTTCGAGCACGATCAATCATTTCTTCACAGAACTGAAAGCGGCGATCAGGATCGTCTTAATTAATTTCTTGTGCCAAATTAATTTTGTAAGGGTGATACTTTAGAATTTTTAAGATTCCTGAAGTACTTGCAAGTTTCCTGAGACTGAAATTTGGTTCCATTGCGATGCCACCCAGGACAGCTACCTGTTTACCCTCATACGTTGATGCTTTTGCAATCGATCCCGTTACCGAAAATTTAACCACTAAATCTAGAACGTACGGACGCGAAGTGTTTTTGTCAGGATGACGACCATTAAAAATCTGTGTTGTCTGCCATGCACAGTAGGGTGGCCCAAAAAAACGAATATTTTTGTTCGTGTCTCTTGTGAAAATATGTTAGTTTATCATATTTTAAGATCCCCCTTCAAAAAAGATTTTTAAAAATTTCCAAAATCGTCAAAAATTGAATTTTTTAATTTTTTTTTCTCGTTATTTTATCATTTTCTAGGTTTTCTAGGTTCTAGGTTTCATTAAATTCAATAAAAAAATTATTAGTTCGTTGATAGGTATTTATTTTTAGAGGTCGCTCGAAAACATTTTAGGTACACCATTTTTAAAGTTAAAATAGTTAGAAATTAAAATATCGATTTAAAATTTTCAGAATCGAGATTTTTTTTCAACCTAGAAAATGATAAAATAACGAGAAAAAAAATTTAAAAAAAAATTATTTTTTGACGATTTTGGAAATTTTTAAAAATCTTTTTTGAGCTGATTTTTTGAAGGGGGCTCTTAAAATATGATAAACTTACATATTTTCACAAGAGACACGAAAAAAAATATTCGTTTTTTTTTAGCCACCCTAATGCACAATTATTCTTGTCGACAAACTATTATTTCTACTTTTTCAGTAATTGTATTAACTATTTTTGACGAATTGGAATTCAATTGACTTTATGATGAGTTTACAGGATATTTTTTAGACAAGACAAGACGAGACCATATTGTCTCGTTTAAAGTGAAACAAGTAAAAAAGTTGAACTAATAGTGTACGAAGATTTTGTATTGACAGATAAATGTTCGTTCGGAAGTGGAACAAAGATTTTGTTATTGTATGGAAGCGGAGGGAAATCAATTTGAGCAATTAATAAAATCGTTTTCGCTACTATTAAAAAACACCAAGAAACACTTTCCATTCATTTAACATTATTTCTACAAAAAACAGCCAATGACATATTTTTTTAATTAAGTGAATACGCTGTGGTAAATTTCATTTAAATCGTTCAGCGCAATATATATTTTCTTGAAACTTGAGCACCCTGTATCTCGGATACCACGTTCCCAGGAAAAAAGTTTTTAGAACAAACTCTATTTATTTTTTGGCTACTAATCTGTAGTTTCTGTATAATCACATCCGAGAAAGCCACATTACGATCAAAATTGAGTAACTGCCTATATCAGCATTTGATTCATTAAATCGTGGATAAGAGACAATTTTACTCCAAATGAAGAAAAATTCACACGATTTTCAGCATACTGCTGATTAGTCCGCTGATAATCAAATCTTTCCTCTGATTGGAATAGTATAATTTTGTAAAATTTAAAAATCTATGCGCAATCGCTTGTGGAATCTCATAATTAATCAAAATAGGCAATAATTTAAAATTACACTTAAACTTTTCCTCGTCAAGCCCGTGTATGAAAAACATCATTACGGGAACGGATTCCCCATCGATATCCCTATATTCCTTCAGTTCGACCATCCCGTCGATGTCCATGGATTCTCCGGTGAAAAACTGCAACTCTTTAAACCTAGAATGTCTTTCATTACTTTATTCATATTCGTTTTGAAGACGTTTACTTGGTCCGGAGATTTCTATTTCAATTTTGCTACTAATTTATTCATGTAGTCCTTAAGGTAAGCGGTGCAAGACTTCTTGTCGCCAAAGGCTGATGAACGAA